ATATATATATATATATATATAAGGTTAATAATATTTGTCAAGTTTGTTTTTCACTTGAAAATTAGCATGTTTAAAACTTTAGTACATAAAACTTGGCTGCAATGTTTCAGGTTGTAAGAGCTGATTTGAAAGAACTCCGGGATTTGGATCTTGGAAGATCTCCATATGGTTATACCCCTTTCTGTGATAGTAGGAAGGACATGGATGGCTACCGGTAAGTTTTGTTCATCCACTTCCACATGATTCCTATAAGTTTCAGAACACGTATTTATGTATTTCTAATTAGTTTTCAAGTGATAGTGAAAAATGTCAGAATCTTAAAAGTATAAGTTATGAATTTTAGAAACTTCTATTGCTTCATGAAGGTTGTACACAGCTCTTCATAGATTTCCATTTAGCTTTGGTTATGATGGATTATTTGACAAAATAGTGGGTTATATATCCTTTTTATGGAGAAAGAAGCCCTTATGAAAATTATGTAAGAATGTGATATGATGGTAATTTTTGTCAGTTTGTTTTAAATAGGTTTTGATGGGAAATAATATAACAATCATAACTACCATAATAAAATTTGCATTAGATAAATTGAAATTATAAGTTATTTAACAATCTGTGAATACTTATGTTGTAAATATCTTCTACATGATGTAGAAGAATTGCATTTACTTTATGGGCATGCTTAATACTGTCTGATAAGAAAAAATGTCTTATGACAAAAACACTGAAATGGTAAAAATTGTATGAGTGTGAGTCGTTAAGCACTTTGTGATAAACTTATTGTAGTTTTATAGAAACTAGGTCTTCTAAAGCTGGAAACCAAAGATCAACTTTATTTCTGTGACTCAAGAGTTTCTTACATGTAGAGAATAATACGTGTCATCATGTGATGTTTAAAATTCATGTAATTCTTCTTCTAATACACGTAAAGAAGAATAATTACATGAATTTTAAACATCAGAATGTAATGCTGATGTTTTGTAGCATATCATTTTATGAAATGTATTTTCTTATTGTGGCTGTCTTTTTATTGTTACAAGGCATGGGATGAAAACGTCTTTTACCTAAAAAATAGGACTGGTTTGGTTAACAGCTGCAGGCAAATTCATACGCTCTTTGAATCAGTGTTGTCATAAAAATATCTATTGTACCTAACCAAAGGTAATGTATATGATATCAACATGTTTTATAAACCTGCAGGTTTTGGAAGAGTGGATATTGGGCAAGTCACTTAGGAAATCGAAAATATCATATTAGGTATGTTTGAAACAAAACATAATGTATAAGATGTGATTCACAAGAATAAGCTCTTAGATAAAGGTAACTTTCAAAACATTTTTAAGGCTATTCAGAACATATCTAGTCATCAAATTAGTGATAATTGTATCATAACTTTATTTTAGTAATAGTAATAAAATTTGTAAGAATAACATATTTTAGATTGATTATACTTTTAGCTTTCTTTGCATATAAATTGCGAAACTCTCCTTACAAAGGCTTGGTCATTTTTGTCGACCTTGTAAACACCATGTAACCATAAAACTATATATACTATAACTTTTATTTTAATAAATGTATCTACACAAAATTTGACAAGATTTTAGTAAACATTGCAACTGTTTTTGTGCACAAAAATCAAACTGTTGAATTAATTATTTTTACAAAAGATTTGTTTTGAATTGGAGAATACTGTTGCAAGTATAGTCATCTCACCATTTTAAGTGAGTATCTCAACCTGCTTTGTTATGTATAACTTCCTGAAGTGTAATAATCACAAACAACAAGGGGACGTTTAAAGATTTTTATGTTAAGTACATATATTAAAAAGGGTGCATAATGTCATAATTTCTTTACACTACTCCTCTGGGTTATTTCTAAAAAAAAAGAAATGATGCATCAAATTAATACAATTTTAAAATGTGTAATTATTTTTAATTAATTTTACACTAGTATGATTAATTTCACATCATCTCTATTTAAATTTTGATTAATTTTTAATTTTTTGCAAAACAAAAAATGTAAAATTAATGGGTTTTTTTTGTTGTTTTTTTTTAAACACTACAGTGCTCTTTATGTGGTAGACTTAAAAAAATTCAGAAGGATTGCAGCTGGAGACAGACTCCGTGGTCAATACCAAGGTTTAAGTCAAGATCCAAACAGTTTGTCTAATTTGGATCAGGTAAAGCTGCATTTGAGTGCAAATTTTATGTTTTTAAAGGTGTTAGTATAAATATGACTAGTACCAAGACTTGTTTAAATAGAATCAACTGAGGCCATATTTGATTGTAAGTTAAACTCAGTGGTAACTTAAACAAGCTTCAGTCATGTACAACACTGGTGTTTAAGTCAAACCTAATACAGTCTGATTATACTGAAGCTAAGAAAGGTTTTGAAATTGGTCAAAAGTAATTTTCTGAACTAATGAAGATATCTTTCTTCAAAATAATGACAGTTTTGTATTTTTACATCTATAGCAAGATGCTGCTAATAAGAACATTATAGAAAACAGTGTTGGATGGTGTAATATTCTATGGATTCTGGTAATTTTCTTCGTGGCTTATCCATGATTATTAAAGATGTTTGTAGATAGGATAGTTAACTGTGTTCTGGAATCATATTAAAGGTGGCTTCAAGTTGTTTATGTTTGATTGCTTTGTTGGTGTGATAGTTTTGTATCTTGGAATGTAACAGTTTCACTGTTTAAACATGACTAGTTCTGAAGTAGATCAGCTGGAGATATGGTTGATAATGAATACATTAAAGATCTCCAAGGGGCTAATGTTTTACATAGCTTCATTCAGGGTTTTCATTATCTCTAAAAGTAGATACTGCTAAAATTGGTGTGCTGACATTGTGCTGTTAGGGATGATCTGAGAAATTTTGAAAATCAAACTATCAGAAATACCATTTCCTGTGCTTTCTGACCTATTGTAAAACAACAGTAAAAACAGAAATGACTACATGAAAAGTAAAAAATGTTTGAATTTACATTATATATTTTAGCATTTTTTGCACTAGGAGTGTAATATGCCAGTTTTTTTTAACACATTTTGTGTAAACATCATGACATTGTTCCCTCTGTTGGCCTGATGATGCCTCTGAAGTAGTCAGTCACCTAATTATATTAAATATGTAAGATATCACTTGCTAATAATTATTTTTTCAGTCGGTGACGTGAACAATACCTAATAGTTTTTACTGTTCTTTTTTTATTTAGAAGGATTAAACTTGCATTGTCATCATATGTTAAGAGTTGTAAAACATTGCGTAACTATGATTTTTACAGTTTTTATCGATATTATGTATGTATATATAAATGTGTGATGATTTTTCCAAAGGACTTGCCTAACAACATGATCCATCAAGTGAACATTAAATCTCTGCCACAGGAGTGGCTCTGGTGTGAAACCTGGTGTGATGATGAGTCCAAACAGTATGCAAAGACAATTGACTTGGTAAGTTTATCAATAAAGATTTATTATTATATAAAAGAGCATTGAAAGATATAATATAGAAATGTTTAAGCTTACGATATAGAGGGTGATTCAGAAGTACGTTTGTATGTAAAGAATGAGGAAAGCAAGTGTTAGTGGTTTAAAATGAGGTATTGTGTGCCTAACCTGTGACAATATGACTGAGGGTCATTCAAGTTATGTCTTTGAAATTTTATTAGTATGCATCATACACCCAAAATTCAAAAGTAAATTTAACATTGTAAACCAAAAATTACCAAAGTTGCTTCCCACGAATAACAGTTATAAATACATCCCTTCCATGCATACATAATCCTACTGTAGCAAAGGTTGTTACACAAACCTAGGTGTGAAGTATAAAGTAAATTTTGCCTAAGTGGGTTATTGCACCTTTGGAGGGTTCAAAAGGTTGAAAAAGATTAAAAGAAGTAAAAAAAAACCTTACATATAAACACTATGCTGCAGATGCTCCAGAGTAATTTAAATCAGTATTTTTTAGCCACTGCTCCATCACAACCACCTTACCAGTCCAAGAGATATCATGGAAATAAAATCTGGTAGAATATTTGTTTGTGAATCGTAATGGTTTTTCATTGTACTTGCATTTTAGTGACTTGCGACAGTTTAGGGAGGCAGAGTTTGGTTCCTGGTATCAAAAATGTTCAGGAATGCTGATCTAAATAATGGCACAGTATTCAGTTTAACATGGTCCTACCATGTGGGAAATGTCACCAGGATGCCCAGGCTGCTGCCAGATTGTATGTAGAACATGAACATAATCCTTCGCATCCAATGATAGGAAATGTGTACGTACTACAGACTCGTTTACACAACAACATCATGTGGGCAGACACCAACCAGTATTGACAAGGAAGCCACTATTTTATTATTATGTTAGAATATTCTCATCTGCATTTATTCTTTTGACTGTTGTTTTGTGTGGCAGTTTTTGGTTTAAAATGTTTAATTTGTTATTGTTTGTGCATCAGCGGTTGACATTTTTGGTGTATAATGCATATTAATTAGTTTCAAAGAACATGGCCTTGAAATTGATCTCACTGACATCTTTATACAATATACTCACAACACCTCACTCTATACTTAAATATTTTCATACACCTCTCCATTTCAGAATTATCTATCTGTCAGTGGAGTTCTGGATCATCCAGTATACGAGACTGAATAAGACATCTCGTATTTATTTTCTTCTTGATTGATATAACGATACTATGAACTTAAAATCTGAATATTTTTTTAAAATATTTTAATTTAGTGCTACTTTAAGTAAAATTTCAATGATTTGTGTAGTAAACTGAATATGTTTCAGACAAATCATAGAAATTATGTACTTGATAGGTATAGCAAAAGCTTTTGAATGTTTTTACATTTAAGATGCCCTTCTGTGTCTATAACACCATATTAAGTTGTTGGCCTTATAAACACATTTTACATCTTTATTTGAGTATGTTTGTTTATATTTATAAATATCTTGTCATTCCCTAACTCTCTTGTAGTGCCACTGTTTATTAATACTGTAATGTTATCAGTTGCTGTTGTTTGTTTCAGCATAATTGACTAGCTAAACCACATCGCACAGAGATCAAATCCAAATTTTGGCATTGTAAGCCCTGAACACTGAGGCACTGTTGTTCTCCAGACATCCTGTAGTGATGATACTTATAAATACCTCATTATTATTTATATATCTCTTGTCCATTGGTATTACTTTATAGTACAGCTTTTTTATTATAGGTATTTTAGTGTTGTTATCCAGACATCCTGTAGTGATGATACTTATAAATACCTCATTATTATTTATATATCTCTTGTCCATTGGTATTACTTTATAGTACAGCTTTTTTATTATAGGCATTTTAGTGTTGTTATCCTCTGAATACCAGATGTTATTTATTCTCCAGTGTAATAATCCCAAAACAAAAGAATCAAAGTTAGTGAGTGCAAGAAGAATTATTCCAGAATGGTCTGATTATGATGATGAAATTAAACAATTATTTGAGACCTACCAAGAGGAAAAACAACTAAATGAAACAAAACTACTTCATAAAACAGGTAGGTGTACTTCACCAGTTGGGACAGATATATAACCAGGGAAGTTTATATGGTTCCTGATGAGCTGATTCTTCAGCAAATCTTAAACATTGTGTAACTTATTGTAGAGTATATTTAAACTAAATAAATAAACTGCATTTAGGTTAATTATCAAAAAAGCTTTCAAACAAATGGATCCTTATTGCAAGTGTGAATTACCCTGTTAAATTGAATGTTATTGGGAGAAATGTTTTGGTTTTATTTCAAGAATTTTTTGTTCGTTTTTCTTGTTTTTTAACATTAGTTTTGATTAATTATAATTTTGTTATTCTAGAAACAAGTCATAGTCACGTGGAGTTATGATATTGGCCTCTTCCATGGAAAATGATGTACATTTACTCTCTAAAAACTCCTCTATCTTATTGTGGAGAAGTTTGAATAAAGTGTTTTTAGAAATTTTCTTTGCATTTTCCTGAATCATGGGTTTATATGAATAAAGATATATATATATACAACATGATTTTCAGTTTTATTTACAGTTTGATGTACAATTATGTGTTGAATATCAAGTGTGTAAGTTATTTGTTAGATGAAGACTTCCCGTTTTTATAATCAGAAAGACTTATTGTGATTACTGCATATATTTCATCTTTGATTAACGGTCAAAAAATCTTTTTATTATTAGTGTTTGAAATTGTTAAAATATATGATTTCTGAACTTCAAAATAAATCGTTTACCTAACCATATGGTTGTAGGGTAAGTGAAAAATAGTAATTAAAATAAATAAGTTAACATGTGGTCTCAAAAACATGTAGGCAAAATACTGTGCAAATGCGACAGTTAAAAAAGAAAATGCAAATAATAGCTTTCAGCTCATCACTGTTAACCAGATTAACAAAGACAGAGTGGTTTGCTTTCAAAGTGATTAACAGAATTACAGAATACCAAATATTTGAATTTCAAGTACATTATCAAAAATATAGAACATTTTCCTTTCAAGGTTTCACAAAGCTGTAAAGTATTGTGCGAATTCTAGTTGTTACACACGAAACTTAAATACCACTTGCTTTGTGTTCTGTATAGGGAATATATGATGTTCAGTGTTTTGAAAGTTCTAATGACTATAAATGAGATATCTGCTAAAAGAAATGATTTTTTTAATTAAAATTAACCTAAAGTGATATTGTTACATTCCTTTATACACAGAAAACATATTTTTCGAAATTATCACAAAAATTAATGTCACATGACTTCAATTACGAACCTTTTTTTGTTTACATGTTAGATTACAAATGTATTTACAGCAAATGAAAGACTGTTTTCTCTATATGTTTACATGTTAGATTACAAATGTATTTACAGCAAATGAAAGACTGTTTTCTCTATATGTTTATATAAGTTGTATGTCGAGTTTTGTTTACATGTTAGATTACAAATGTATTTACAGCAAATGAAAGACTATTTTCACTATGTGTTTATATAAGTTGTATGTCGAGTTGACAATTATAGTGTGTCACGTAATAGGAATAAAATGAACATTTCCACGAAGGTACACCCTATCTTTAAGAATTGAAGTCGGAGCTCTAGCCAAGTTAAACTGGATTAATTGTATATTTTTTGTAAAACAGAAATATCACAATCAACTCTCTACAAATCGTAAGGACTGTTTGTTTACGTAAAACCATTCTAACTACCAAAAGCTTATTTAGTGGGTATTGTTTATATATAACGAGTGACGAAAATACATCAATCTTTGTTACATTTCTGGAATTGTTAGAAATTATGGAAAGTCATAGTTCATTGGTTACTATAAGTTATTCATTAAGCTTCAATCTCAATCATCTATGGTAATAAGTTCGATTTATCAGCTATTCTGCTATCGCCATTTTGTATGGTGCAACAGAAACACGAGGAATGTAACACTGCATTGTTCAGTTATCTTGATGCTATACGTAAAGTCCATTTTTCACCCTCTATAGAACAAGGTGCCTTATTTTTTATTGGTATGTCAAATAATAAGGTTAAATTTTAACGCCCCGCCTCCCCCACACACACACCTAAAAAAACTTCATAGCAATATTACATTTTATTTTAATATATACATAATATTTCGAATCTGCTGTCTTCGTTGAGGCTTGACTCGTGTAAATCACCACTGTTGTCTTCTGTGAAGAGAAATTTCGGCAAGAAGAAACAAAGAACTTGAAACTAGAAGCAGCCAGCGGAATCTCTTGATTACGCCTAATGAAAGTTAACTAAATTTACGTTGTGTTAAGGTGTGTGGTACGAAAGACCTGCAGGCCCCTGTCTTCGTGACAAATGAACTCCACATCCCCTTTTCTAAGGCCACCCTAGTTGCGAGAATTCGCTAGTACCTTCGTAGTACACCAGGAAAGAAGCAATCATAATGAGATTTCAACTCCCGACAACAGGTTTTCTTGAGTATCGTTTGAATATAGATGAAGGCTTTTACCACCCAGTCAGAGGTCAGGGGCTGGGAGGGAGAGCTAAACGCCAAGTGCAGACACTCACCCGTCAGTGATTTCATTCACTTCGTGGGGCGGGACTATGGAATAATGTTTGTTATACCAGTGCCCTTGTGTGGTAGCATAGAGGGGGGGGGGAAACAGGGTTGGATTTCATTGTCACGTGTCTAAATTGTATATTATTAAAACTTCATATTATTATAATTCTGTGTCAACGTGACATTTAATAGCCAGAACTTAAAGATAATTTTGAGTATATTGTTCGCGATTCCTGAAAGGCTACTAACCTACTAAGTAATTAGTTTTGATTTCTTTATTACAATGTAGGCACAAGTAATGCAACGAAAGATTAAAATACAAAAGAGGAACACTAATCAGTATAATATTTAAAAGTCGGAGGAATTTAACACAGGCTCTCCTCCCTATAATTGGGGTGTCCCATCGCAGAACGTTTGTCAGTGTACGCTCTAGGTAACGTGGCGCCAACTTATTAAATATTATTGTTGAGGCATAAAAATCTTGACACATCTAGTACTATATCATTGCCATTCTCAATTAATATAATAACTTGCAGCGAATATAAGTAAAATGTATATTGTTGACCGATTTCAACAACCACGTCTGTAAGAAAATAGACCATTAAATGCACATTCTAAGGATTGTCCATGATTATGAAGAAACTTCATTTTAAACTTCACTTTTGTTTATGTTATCAGAAAAGGAGAAATTAAATAGAATAAAATAATTATCGGTTTGGTAAGTGGAGTAATAATTGAGAACAAGATTTCAAATATTTACGAAACTTATAGTAATGCAGAGACTGGTTAGGAGTATATGATTTGCCATCTGAGGCTGTTGATTAGTGTGGTCAGTACTTTATTGGTTTGAAATGACGTGTATAATTGTCGCGCATGAGTGGCAAGATTCCAAACTTTCAATTTCCAGGTATTTCTCGTGATTGTGATTGGCTTAGTGTTAGCCCAGCATGGCCAGGTGGTTAGGGCGCTCGACTCGCAATCTGAGGGTCGCGGGTTCGAATCCACGTCACACCAAACATGCTCGCCCTTTCAGCCATGGGGGCGTTATAATGTTACGGTCAATCCTACGATTCGTCGGTAAAAGAGTTGGCGGTGGGTGGTGATGACTAGCTGGAGGAACTAGGAACGGCTAGCGCAGATAGCCCTCGTGTAGCTTTGCGCGAAATTCAAAACAAACAAACTTTTAAAATAATACTTTTTATTTTTTTAGAATAACTATGCAAAAATACATTATTTACAGTAAAGATGTTTCACTGTCGAAAAGAAGAATATATTTAGTTTAGCTTTTTATTTCTAAATGATTCGTAAAATAAAAAAATGTTGCAATACGAATTATGTAAAAATGAAAATATTATTACATTGAATCGTAATATGCGAGACCAATCATAAGCACGTGTAAGGAATTTTACCTTTTAATATACCCCTTCTAGATTATTTTTTACTTTGAATTCAAGCTTTAATGCATCTTGTTTTTACAAAACCTTTGTGGTTTTAACTATGCAATGTATTAATGGAGTGTGTGAATATGAACACTAACTTAATATCAAACAAAAATTAGGTTATCAAATTTTATGGTGTATAACGCCTAATGGCGAATAAGTTATCTGTTAATTGGGGATAGTTTGTGTAACACTACATCACTAAAACGTCAGCTTAGGCGTTATAAACCATAAGATTTGACGTCTTATATAACTAACGTTTCGTCTGATGAACTCTGACATTGGATGGAAAGCTTCGCCGGCAGCAGTGTGCGACATGCAGAATATGCGGTTGAAATTATATTATATTTTTTCTGGAAACCATTATAGAGTCAGAAATTAGAAACAGCTTCTTACGCTTGTATTGGTGATTCAATCCCATACGAACCACCGAGCATCAGATCATGCGTCTCCAGCTTGGGCGGTATACGCCATAAGATTTGATGTTTTGTAAAATACTGATTTTTTTATGGTGTTTCAACCAGGGTTCGAAATTCACAAAATTTCTAATCGATCTTTCAGAAAACTTCTAACTGGTATTCCAGAGATTCTAACTAGTAACCAGGTTTAACTGGTCCTCTTCAAGAATATGCGTACGTTAATTCCATTTTTATCAATTGCAGCTATGAACCTTTTAAAGAAAGACACAATTGCGAATACATAAGTGCATATATATGTGTAACATTAAATAAAACTCTTAATTGCAAACAACAGTGTTTGATAATGTCACCCTTGGAATATACGTAATCTTTTTATTAAACCAGATGAACTCAAAAAAAAAATAATGTGACTTGAGATTACTATTTTAATACTGACAAAAAGATATTTATCCACTGAGATGTTAAAATTCGTCACACTTTACTTGGATCGATCATAAGGATTTCCCATAATGCCTAGATATATGCCAGGGATCCCCCAAAATATGGAGCATTCATTTGGGAGCCTGAAGTGGACAAAATAGTTACACGAGATGAAAATACAACTATGATTTGGGGGGGGGGGGATATAGAAATGCGCGTTTGATGACAAAGTGAAAGAGAAAAAATGCTTAAAATTCTAAACGGAGTAATATGGTCGATTCCATGATTTTTTTTCGTTATTCCTGTAAGCACATGGGATTCTTAGCTGGTCAGTGCCGACTAAATCACGCGAATTTCAGATCCTGGTTTCGAATTAAGATTTGCTTTCTTCAAACTTAGTCGGCAGCAACGGAAAACACACGAAATATATAGTTAAAATGCTATTGTTGTCTTCTTACTAGAAGCCCGCATTAGGGCCAATGTAGAGAGTTGTTCTACATATGTACATTTATATTTGTCTACAACAAATTCCTTGTTCGAAGACTTACTACGAAGTTCTGATTTAAAATCTTTAATAGTCATCAAACTATTCAAGTCACTCATGAAGTAAATTATTAAACTCAAATTGCCGTAAGAAGTCCTAATAAAATAAACGACCTAAATTTTTTTCAAATATTAACCTTCTATTAAATGTTTGCTTGTGTAAAATAAGTAATCACCATAAAACGTTGAGTATTACCACTCAGTCTAGTAATTACTTTGAACTTTACCCAGTCACAAGAAAACAGATAAAGATTACAGATAACAATTTCTTGACTATAATTTGCACAAAATTTGAGGTTTATTTATTTAAAGCCAAAAATCCCCGTAGAAAAATTTTCCTTTCATAATATTAGCATAAAACACCCGCGTTCCGCTGCAGGGTTCAAAGGTCCTCCTCATAATTCATCGCAGAGTCCCCTCTGTACCGATCAAGCTTTTACATTATTTTCAATTACTTCTATATCTATCTCAAAAGGGAATCCGAATAAAAAAACCGTTAGGATAACCGCCCTTGTTACCTGAGCACGTATGCCAAGTTTGCCCCCGCTAGTTTGTGAGTGAGGATATGAACATTGTTTTAAACATGACGCCTCCTGGGTCCCGAGGGCAGCCAGGAACACAATATCCGATGCAAGATTCGGGTTCAGTGACTCTGAAAACCTCCTTATTGATCCACATCATGTTTGGAACAGATTGACGGAATAAATATAAGCAACGCTTTTGTTTCTGTTTTCTGTGATGTCTATTTTTTGTTTTTATTGAAAGACGTGCGCATTCCCTTCTAACCAGACATGGCCTAATCGGTAGCATGTCCACATTGTGAATCTGAGCATTCACA